ATAGTCAGTCCGCTTGAAATATATACATTTTAGTTATTTAAAGTATATACTGTCTTTGCCTGTTGCCATCCCTCCATTGGGCCAAACTGGTTTTGATTATTTTAATTTTAATTTTAGGGTATAGTAATTCTATTATATGGCCCCTGTAAGTGTTATATCGGGCAGAGAGGACCAGGTGAGGGAGTTAGAGCTGATGGATGGTGGGTAATCATTTGGTATGAATTTGATATGATCCTGGAGTTTCTTTCTTAATGCCTGCGATCATTCCTCTGTCCTGGAGAGAGCACTCCGCCCGCTACTCAGTCGTTTGTACACCAGATCCTAAATGTTATCTGTCTAATAAATAATATTTGCCTCCCCCTCCCATCCCACATGCCCCAAACATGCCGGTGGGTCAGCAGAACTGCGACTGAGAACACCTGGGAAGAAGCGCACCTGCAGAGACCGACTGATTAGAACGGCAGTGATGTGGACACGTAGGGATGGTGCAGGTCCAGAAGCTAACTACCTTACCTCAGGTAGCTTTAGACCCCTTCCTAGCCATATTCCTGGTTTATTTACTGTCAGAACTCAGACACCTCTCGGATGTACCCACCAATACACTTTAATTTACCTTGATTTACGACTTTCTTTGCTCTGTAAAACTATACAATTTATGAAACTACTTTCGTGCCAGAACCTGGAGCTAGAAGTAACCTAAATCTTTGTTCTTGGGTCCTGGTTGCTCAAATTTGGTTCTAGAATAAACTATCCTTTATTTCCTTTAAGGTAAAAGCTGTGTTTTTTTTTTTTACATCTGTAATCAGTACTTATTAACTGTTCAAAGATGAAGAATGAGGCCCAAGGAGATAGTTCAGTCTGTAAAGTACTTGTCATAGGCACTAGAAGACCTGAGTTCCAATCCCTGGAACCCACATTCAAAACAAAACAAGACATCTGCATATGTAATATAGACACACACACGTGCACGTGCGCACACACACACACACACACACACACGGTCTGTATAATGTTGCTTACGTGTGTGTCTTTCTGAGATGACCACTTAGGATTAGATAATCATTTTATTTGTATATGTTTGTTTGTATATATGCATACATATAGCAGTAATAATTTTAAAGTGAGGCTGTGAATTGGAAAGAGAAGTTATGGAAGTAATTGGAGGGAGGAGAGAAAGTAATGTTAAGTATATTTTGGTTAAAAAACAACAAACTGGCATGGTGGTTGTGGCAGCAGTAGCCAGCCCTGGCAAAGAGGACCAAGGAATCCTTGGGCTGGCCGGCCAGTTAGTTTGAATTAATTGACAAGTGCCAGACCAGTGAGAGACGCTCTCAAAACAACAGGAACAAAAATCAACAAGGTGAGTGGTGTCCGAGCTTTCCTCTGGCTTTGCATGCACCCTCACATGTATCAGTGACACCTAGAACCTGCCTAGGAGGACCAGGACAATGAGGTCACCCTCAGTGCACACAGACCATGTGGATTAGCCTCTGGGCGCTCCACATTCACATCCTCCTTTACCTCTTTCTGTTTAGTTTTGTTGTACACATTAGCATATTACATGTACCGATCTGTGCTTTGCCCCTTTTTTTCTGCTTAAAAATATCAAATATGCACTTTCAAATTCAGTAACAGTATGGAACAGGTTCTAGAGTAACATATTTACCAGAATGGTAAATTAGGGAACCCAGGCAAAGGAAACAATTTATTCTACCAAGGTTAGGGATAGGAGCACAGACAGGGCCAGAAACGCAATGAGTCGCGTCCGTGGCCTTATCCTTACCCGAGGACAACCCTGCTTCCATCCAGCAAGGGCAGTGTGGTCTACTTTCCCAGTGCCATCTAGGTTTGGTCAGTACCCAGTAATGAAAAGAAAAGTGGGCCACGGCCATTCTAACAAGGAGGGCCAGAATCAAGCTCACTAGGCTGACCACAAGGCACATTGGTTGTGTTTAAAAAGTTAAAAATGTAAAATAAGTATCTGGTTAAATTATTGGCAAGTAATACAGTCCTGCAATTTGAAACACTGGTATTAAAGGGTGTATAAATGAGTAGGCACAGAGAGACATTTCCGCCCCACAGACCGGTTAAGTTAGTACCTGCACATAGGATTGCATCCATCTGAGCATCTTAATTATACCTGCTCTCATTTCCTGATGGTTGTGTAAGTGCAATAGGAATACATATTCTTATTTTCTCCCTTTAAATTACACAAAATTAGCATATTGCAATAGTAATCTGCATCTTGCTCTGCTCTTTTTCCTTTTCAACTTAAAATTTATCTTGGAGAACTCTCATGCCAAAGCCAATACCTTCGCTTAGCTACAAAGTATCCTTGAATTTTATTGTAATTTAATCAAATGGCCTCTTACTGATGGGCATTTGGGTTATTTCTAACCTGTTGTTGTTAGGGGAAAATCCTTTTACGACCAGCACTGTCCATACCGCAGAGGCTCACGTGTGTCATCCTGATGTATTGCCAATTGCCCTCCGCACGGTTGTATTGATTTATATTCAGGTCTGGCATACCACTGTTTGATCCCGCACAGCCTCTACTGCAGCGTGTTACCAGGCTTTGGATGCTAGCCAGTCTGGTGGGTAAAAATGTTCTCTTAGAATGCTTTAATTTGCATTTAGTTCAGTGACAAACTGGGGCATTTTAAAGACGCTGGGCAATGGCACTTGGAAGGAGAAGCATGATTTGTTCTTGGAACCAGGACTGAAGTGGACACAGCTCTGGCTTGGAGGAGGAGGAGCCTCCTCCCTGAGATAGCGGGGACCAGACTGCCCCAGATTCAAGGTCTTCACCTGGAATAGCTCGCTCAGGTGTCTGTATTCTCGAATGGCAGGCATTGCTGTAGCTACTAGATCAGGAAGCCGAGGCGGAGAGGTAGCGGTGTCCCATAATCTGGGGAAGGGCAGAGCAGACAGCAGAACTCTGACGAGGACCCCAGGTTTGCAGCCGGTGTTCAGCCCCCATCAGGATGCTGTCTCTGTGTAGAACTTGAGTTGGGTCATTTGTGTGCTATTCACTTCCAGTTGATTTATGACCTTTTCTGTGGTTTAGCTGTGTTCCAGCTCTGCGCCTGGCTCTGAAGGACATATTCTTATTAAATGTGGCTGTGCCTTGTTGCTTTTCCCTGTAGACAGGTGAGATGAGCAAGATTACTCTCAGGCTGTCTCCCTTTTCTGCTGCTTTCTTGTTTTAAAAGCTACCATGTTTGCAACAGATTATAAATATCGCTTTGTTTTCTCTCCCACCTGCATATCAATATGAACATTGGAGCAACGGGCGTTGTAGCACTAGTAAATAAGGCAACTGGGGGGAAGTTTATTATTCTGTTGATTATACATGAAGGATTCATTCAACACAATTGTAGAAAGATAAATATTGAGGCTGGGCTGTGCCCTGCATATAGAGCCAACCAGTTTCAGACTGTACCTTGACTTGGGCGACTCCATCTCCCAAGTTTTTGGCTCCATTTTGAGTGCTGGCTGACTGTTCTTGTGGGCAGAGACACCACCTCTGGTGTGGCAATGCTCAGGAGAGAGAGATTCATAAACTGGGCACTCGGCTCTACCCGATCCTTCGCCTTGGCTCTACAGCCATGTCTCCAGGACAGCTCTCAACAGGGCTCACTATCTACCCCGCCAACACCAGCCCCACCTCGGACTCTCTGCCTCTCGAGCAGCTGTCTGCCTCCACAGGTCTCTCTGAACTCCCTCTGAGACCTCCTTAACCTTTGGGTAACTGCCTTAGTTATTTTTATTTTGATGCGAAGACTCACCATGACTAAGGCAACTTTTAAAGGACAGCATCTAATCGGGGATTGTTTACATTCTCAGAAGGTGAGTCTGTTAGCAGTATGGTGGAGAACACGGCTGTAGAGAGGCAGACGGGCCGCAGGCAGGCAGGCAGGTGATGAAGTAGCTGAGAACTTACAACTTATTTCTAAGTTGGAGGCAGAGAGAGAGCTAATTGACATGATGTGGGCTTCTGAAACCTCAAAACCCACACCCAGGGACATACCTCCGCCAACAAGGCCACACCTTCCAGGGCTTTCTACATATTTCTACCAACTGGGAACCAAACACTCAAATATATGAACCTATGAGGCCATTCCCATTCAAACCACCACAGTAACCAACATACACAGAAACATAGATATTATTTCTGTGTGATATATAATGTGTGATCCAATGATTTTAGTAGTTAAGATGGCAATTCAAGATCCTGTATTGGCTCATGGTCATCTGTCAAAGGAAAAGTGGGCAAACTTCTGCTAAGGAACTGACATCGCCTGTGAATTTATTGCTATCCAATAAATCCTGTCGTTGGAAGAATACACGTGTTTGTCTATATTTAACCATGCCCTCCCACCCAAGTAATTTTATGTTATTGGTGGAAGCACTGACTATCTCTGGTCTCATTTGAATCTTGGGGAATCTGTTCCGTTCCTTGTCCCCCTCCCCCTTCCCTGACCTCTCACTTTTCCCATCACTCCCTGCATTCACTCCATGTTCTGGCTCAAGACTTCCTTTCTCTGCTCCTTCTGTGCCTGTTGTAATCCCCCTCAACCAGCAAGGATGGGAACCACTGTGAGGCTTTCTGTAGAACTTCCCCGAACCCACTCCACATCTTCGCCTGCCTCCCTCGTCTAGCACAGCCATAACCTTAAGCTGCGAGCCTTAAGGCTGCCCGTTCCAGCGTGTGCACATCTCACTCCTGCAATTCCGAGGACGTGGTCTCCCGCCTGGAGTTGATGTTCTCCAGGAGGACCAGGAATTTCCTTGACATTTCCCTGTTCCTAGCCTGACGTTTGGCTCTGAGTGAGCGTTCAGAATTTGTTATAGCAAATTGGATTTAGTTTTGCAGCCCAGACCTTACTTTTAAGCCCTACATAAATATGTTCAACTGTTCATATAATTTCCTAAAAATTTTGATCATGATACAATAAAAATAAGGTCTTAATTTTTCCTCTATTTTTTTTCTTCTGCAGGATCTCCTCAGCCCAATAATGGTACCTCTCTCTTCTCCATTTATTTCTCAGGTAGGAATGTTGAACATCACTATTCATAACCCTGCATGCTCACCTCTTATATGCAAGCAGTAATCAAATCAGCAAAATATTCTCTCTTTTCTCTCTGTCATTAGTGTGACCTGCCATGACCCTCTGCCATCTGAATGGTGCCATCCACACTCAGCTCTTCCGGCACCTTCTCTGCCCTGCAAGGAACATATCAGACAATGTCATCCCGTTGTTCTTACCCTTTAGATAACATCCTGCCATGCTTGGGCATTTCTAAAGAAGATCTGGAAGGCTCCAGGACCCAGCTAATCTCAGACTGCTCACACTGCTTCTCCCCCATCTCCAAACATCAGCTCCATCCCTGCACTTGATTCTTGTCCTGTCTCTTTTCTCCCTTAGGAAATTTGCCCCTGGGGATCACTGCGAAGAATGCTGTCACCATGTCTTTTATTGTTATTAGCTGCTTGCTGGTCTTCTCTCAGGATTCTGACTAAAACTCTCTGTCTCAGGGAAACCTGCCCCCACCCACGTGCTGCAGATCCCTCTGCTAACCTCCTCAGATGCCTTAGTTTAGCCTCTTAGCCCTGTGCCACTTGTATGAACAAAAGCTAGCCCAGAGGCACCGAGATGCACCCATGTCACATTTAGGAAGGAGAGCTCAGTGCTGCTGCTTGGGTTATTCTGACCACAGGGAAGCCCAAGTTTGGAGTCTCGCTTCTCTGCCTCTGTCTTTCATCTCTCTGTAAGTTGGGGCTTCTGCTTTGTATGCAGTCTGTCTCTCGGGTATGTGTCACCTGTCCTTGCTATCTGTGCCTTGATGCTGCCCCTAACAAAGTGCTGTGTTCTGTGCTTATCAGTCAACACAGAAAGCATCACATGGGAGAGGAAATAAGAGATAATTTCAAAAATCCTAAGTGTTTTACACAGGGTTAAATCTCTGACTCCAGCTGACCCCACAGCACTGGCTCCTGCAAACACACAATCCCTGAGCAGTTCTTACATTGTTTCAAAATATTATCATGGGGATTTGTTGTATAAGGTTGTTTTTGACCTGTCTGTTGTTTTCAGTGAGTGACTACAGTAACACACACACACACACACACACACACACATGCATGCAGTGTTCTTTTGGTCATGGACATGGAAGAGCATATAATTTAAGATTATAGCCATGGGTTAGTTTAGGTAGGAAAAGTGGATTTAATGGGAAGTTCAAGGAAGTAAGGTTATTTCTTGCATTGTTCGCTTTAAAGTAGGCTAACCTGAGTGCCCAGCAGAATACCAGCTCTTAGGTTCAGGGACTGAAGAAATGCCTATGTGGCTAAGAGCCTGGGCTCCCCTTGCTCCCAGCACCCACATCATAGGCTCACAACCATCCGTGACCCCAGTCCCATGGAATCCAAAGCCCTTTTCTGGGATCCATGGGCACCAGGTGTGCATGTGGTATTCTTACAGAAGTATGGGCAAAGCACTTATCCACAGAATTTCTCTTTATATTCAGGACTGGGAAGGCCAATTTAAGAGGGGGGATTTAGAAGTGTTTCTTTGTCACTATTGTACTGAATAAAAAGAAAAAAAATCCCCAAACCCCAGGCCTTTGGCTGTTCCTGGATGAATGAGCTTTGGGCATCATGGTTGAAACATGGTTCTGTGGCTCTACCCCGACCCCTGTGTGCGCTTTCAGGCTGCTGACCCAGGCCTGGGGCTAGGAGGAAGCTGCCATCCCATTCTCTGCCTCTCCAAGCACATTAGCATGGACCAAAGAGAGAGAGAAACATTGTTTTCTTGGAATGAATGCTGCATTTTCAATGAAGCTCCTTAGGCGTTCAAACAATCATATTTATTCTACACGCAACAGCAGTTTTGTTCTATATATCGTGAAAATCCTTCTAAATGTTAATGTCACATTGGCCCAAGGAACAAATACACCAAGATGTGGCTTCTCATTAGCAAAAATCTATAGAGTCCAGGGGAGATTTTTTTTTTTTTTTTTGTAGCTCTTAAGAACGTGGACTGGAGTCAGAAAGAGTGGAGTTCAAACCCTAGCTTACAAACTGGATGGCTTCAGGAGAATCATTTATTAACACCAAGCCTACTCAGTATGGTTTTTGGCTTTGCTGATTGGTGACATAAGGTTTCACTGTGTAGCCCAGGCTAGCCTCAAATTCACACCCTCATGCCTCTGCATATTGACTTATAGGATTGTGGGCATCTTTCTCTGCATCCACCTTTTATAGGGCTCTTGAGCAAATATGGAACCACTTGGTATTTGATGATTTATTAGACATAGGTTAGATATTCCACACCTGAAATGGTTCACACTAGAGCTGTTTTAGGCATCAAACTTTGGGGACCTTTGAATACTGTCAGTTCTAAATCTAAACACCAAAATAATTTCTTTTTCTGCTGTGGGATAATGCTCTTATACCCTGTAAAGATTTGTCACTTATATTGGTTTAATAAAACTCTGATTGGCCAGTAGTCAGGCAGGAAGCATAGGTGGGATGACCAGACTAGGAGAATTTTGAGAAGAGGAAAGGTCCACTCTGCAGTCACCACCAGACGCAGAGGAAGCAAGATGAGAACACCTCACTGAGTAAGATACCAAGCCACATGGCTAAACAGAGATACAGAGATAAGAATTATGGGTTAATTTATGTTGTAAGAGCTAATTAATAATAAGCCTGAGCTAATAGACCAACCAATTTATAATTAATATAAGCCTCTGTGTGTCTTGTTGGGACTGAATGGCTGCAGGACTGGGTAGTACAGAAACTTCCACCTACAATTTCTTAACTTTCATATACACATAGCCTAAAAGTAACCATTTATTATATTTTTGGTATGTTTGTACGTTAATAAGAATTTAACAGGAATCACAGCATTTAATAGGAATCTACCACATAAAGTCAGGTGCAGAATTTTCCAATTACATCATGTGAACACTCAGAAAGTTTTGAAATTTGGCACATTTCAGATTTTGGATTATCAGACTGGAGATGTTCAGCCTGGAATCCATTTTATATAGTTAAAGGTTTTCATATTTATAAAGTAAGTCAAGAGTCAACAAATGGCATTAGTGTGCTATACATGTTATTTATTTGTATTATGAATTTCTTAGATTCTAGCTCAGTAGTGGTGCTTGACCGTGGTACAAGCTCAGTCTTGATTAATGTTCATTGTCCATCCAGTAACTATCGCTTGAGTCACACATGATATTTTAGGGAATAGGATGGACACCGCTTTTGCCCTCCTGGGGCGCATAGGAAGGCAGAAGAAGAGTAAGTAAATCAGTTAATATAGAGTTGTGAGGTGTGGGGTGTGTGGCAGAGAAGAAGCCACTCTGTGAGGAGAAATTTGAGGAGAGGTGTGACAAGGTCACCATGGGAGAAGAGACAAGAGGTACACAGCTACAGGGTGTGGCTTCCAGCCGGCAACAGCCTCATGCAAGCCTTTGCCAACACTGCCGACCCCCACGGGTCTTTCAAATTTCCCGCTAGGTCCTGCAGAGCCAACCTGAGAGATGCTCTCATCTCACGAAAATGTGAGGTTGAAAAGGGAATTCTTTGACAAAGCTATCAGCAAACCAAACTCAGCAGCGTTCGAAAGAAGCCATCTTCTTCCACCAGTTGGGTTTATTCCCAGACTCCCAAAGTGGGTCTCCACAAACAGATTTGCTGATGTGACTTATCCTATCAGGCGGTTAGAGCACAAAGGTTGCATCCTTATCCCCCACAAGTAGCAAAATTAATTATTTTTTTTAAATTCAGATTTTGAATACAGCTTTTTTTTATGATTCTTTACTGTGGTTATTTTGCCTGAAGCTGTGGGGCTTTTGACTACAAAATGTGTTTATTAAAACAATCAAATATTGAGTGTTCAGTTTAAAAAAAATAAGTGCATATCATATATGGAGTTCATACCCTGGCCACTTCTGCTGAGTTACATCAGAATTCATCATCACACAGCAGACTCAATCCAATGCCAGCACCATTTCATCCCAGTCCCTACCACTTGCTCAGCCCATCAGTCCCCCAAATAGCAGGAACACACCCAAGGCTCTGCTGCTGCTCAGCACTGAGAATGTTTGATGCCATCATATAACTGATAGACAACCTTCATTTCCGAGATCAATCACTTTTCCTCTGATGTTGAATTTGCCGTTGATGCATCTCACAAATAAAGAGAGCCCTTTACATAGAAAACGCTCTAATTAAGCAAAAATAAAGGGCACACAACTTTCAGCACTAAATGAGAAACATTTATTCTGTGCATGTGGTTTACTCTTTAATAATTTGAAATATAACTGCTTCTTCCCTCCCGGGACAGTGCTGCCGTTGTGCCTGTGCCTGCATTTACATCTATCTTCCTTCTAATGTTTATTTATGACTATGGCAAAGTAGGAGGTGGGGGGAGAGGCGCGCACTTCCTTTGCCTGTTCCCCTGCAGAGCTCCCAAACCCCAGCGGTTAGGACTGAAAACGGTTCTTCCCCAATTCTGGTTGAAGCCCTGGCCTTTAGCGTGTCCATGTTTGGAGACAAGAGTTTTGGAAGCAATTGAGGACGAATGAAGCCATTAGAGTAGGGTACTGATCCTCCAAGCGTGGTGCCCAGTGAGGTGAGGTCGCTTTCCTCCCTTCCCTCCTCTCCCTCTTACTAAAAGTCTCTCCTCCTGCTCCATATCTCCCTTGCTAAGGCACTAAGGAAAAGGTCAGCAAACACAGTCAAAGTCGGCAATCTGCAAGCCAGAAAGAGACCTCCATCATGATTCAGCCACAGCGGGGCGCTCCCCTCAGATGTCTGGGTTCCAGAACCCTTAGAAAGCCAATTTCTGCTGTTTAAGTCAGCCACTCCAGTATTTCCTTACTGCAACCTAACCCCCCCAGGCAGGAGAGAAAGGGGCAGCTGGGAGCACAGGCCGAGACCCCCATTTCTGCCCATCCTTTTCCAGAAAGGTGACCCTTCCTGCTTTTAGCACCTCGCCCACTGGACGAGCCGGCTTCCTCTGGGTCCTGGACACTGGGTTCTGTACATAGGATTGAACAGCTTGCTCCTCCCCCTCCTCTCATGCTCGCTTTGGCTCTTTTCCACAGAGTGGAACAAGACTTTCCCATGGGGGCAACGTTCTGAGTTCCTCGCTCATCTGAACCAGATGAGTTTTCCACTCTTGGTCTAGAGTGCATGGTCCTGGGAGAGAAGCTCCCAGAATAGGCTAGGCAATGAGTCGGCACCCAAAAATGTCTTGCCCAAAAAAAGCATTTATCAAAGGAAGCCAAGAGGACCGTGCACTGGGGAGAAGACTGCTGATGGCCCAGCTCAACTTTTCTTCAGCCTCCAGCATGCCGGCTTTTCCTGAACAGGACAAAACAGTCGAGGCGAGTTCCCAGGATGCCTTGTTCACAAGGGTGGATGGTGAGAGGTCTCCGTAAGAGTGACAGAATCCCCATTTCACGTCCCGAACATCTGTTAGGTATGGTTTTGTTTTATCCAACTCCAGCCTCTCAACAGTTGCTCTGAAAGGCAAATGCTGGTGGGGAAACCGTTCTGGACAGGACAGGAAATGGGCATTCTAGCGCATGAGCAAAGGTTTGTGTTAGGTTTTGGAATGGGGAGGGTGGCTTGTGAGCACACTGAGACGGACTGGTAGGGAATAAGTAGTTTATTAGGAGAGTTTTGGTGTCTTGGGTAGACAGAGAGACAGCAGTGTGGCAGGGGCTCCGAGGAGAATCAGAGCCCAGGTAGGAGGGTGACAGTCTCTTTTCAGACCTTTCTGAGGACGCCCTCAGCACGAGCTTGAAGTCAGGGTCTTGGTTCCCCGGCATGGCGTGCCCAGGTGAGATGTCCCACACCAGCAAAATTTGGTGCTGGGAATGGGGAGCTTCAGGTGACCTGTCCAAAGGGAGGAAAAATGCTCTGGAATTTGAGGGATTTTGTAGGGAAAAAAAAGTTTAGCAAAAGTACAAACTAATAAAAAGGTCTTTAATTTAGTTAATCTCCTTTTTGATCCCTATGATGTTACAAGAGGATCAGGACACCCCACTAGCGTCAGGCCTGGGGGGATTGAGAGATAATTCCGTGTAGCAAAATCACAGGAATAA